GAAGTGAGGCAGCACAGCAAAGCTTTCCTCCCTGTTCCAGGTACAGAATGAGCCACACAACAAGAATTCGATTAGTGTTAATTACCTAATCCATTTTCTCCATTAGCTTCCTGTCTTTTCCCTAACTCTTTTAAGTTTTTGCGCAGCCTAAAAGTTGAGAATTACGTTTTATTTGGACATACTGAGGACTTAAGCCCAGGAGACAGCCTCTCAGATAGCTCTGAGGGACTGTCCCAAAGAGGCAAGAGAGGAGCCAGGACGTATGGGAGTTTTTGCAAAAAAAAAAAAAAAAAACCCAAAACAAGCAGTTGGAACATCAAAAGATTACTGCTAATTAAAGAAACACCGGACATCTCGAGTTAATGAATTTAGCCCACTTCTGTATATGGGAAGATGCAAGAGTCTGGACTCACTGCAATCATTCCTTTGATATGCACCTTAACTATCTGGGGCCAGTATCCTGCTTTTCTCCATCCTGAATCCCCTCAGGGTGCAGTCTGGGGGTGGCTGCAGTGGCCTTGATGGCTGCAACATCCTTTGTTTACTGATTTGGCAGGTGACATTCTCCGTCCACAGAAGCTGACTTTCCTACTTTCCTCGAGCCCTCCTTGACTCTATGACAGTAATTCCACGGGCAGCAAAGGGCTGAACTGGAAGATTCTCCTTGCTCTAATGGAAGAGGCAACCAGATTCTCAGGTAGCCACCAGCCTTTGAATATCCTCAACAGCCAAGACCTATTGATGCATCCCAGTGTCTTCTAGTGACGCCGGGGCATGCAAAGAACAGTCATACAGGGGATCTGAAATCACACTGCCAGAGATTCACTCTTGTAGGCTAATACACATTTGCAACTTCTCACATGAAGCTGAAAGAAGATCTTGTTGGAAAGTCACATGGATTGATGTGGGTGTGACTCACCAATAGAGGGGAACGTGGGAGTGTTATGGTTAATGGGACGCATCAATTCCTTTTCAGTAATTTCTTTACCTTTCTCCTTTGTCTTTTGCAAATGGACGGCCAACAGGTTCTAAAAAAATGCTGAGCCCTTCCAATTTCCACCTCTGGCTACATTTTCTCTAACTTTAATAAAACCAACAGCAAACAGGAGTTGGAATGTCCATGACACACTTCCTGATCTGTACAAACCTCATACTAAATTTGTTATTCACAGGCAGCTTCTTACTCAGGGGCAGAAGACGGGGAACAGGAGGGTAGGAGGAGGAAGGGGAGAAGGAAGGACAATGCCTCTTGAAATAAATTCAGACAATTAAAATTCCACCACATGGGCAGCAACATCAGGAAGGATTTCAATGGAAGAAATAATCTTGGCCTAAGAAACCTTGACACACAGCCTCTGACATCAAGGTTTCTGGAAAAACTCAGCCAGGAAAAGTTTTGTATATGGCATCAGTACTTTTGGCAGAGAACTCGAAAATGGAAATGAAATGTACAGGCAGGCCACTTCTAAGCAATTTCAAGTAAGTACAGTCATAATTCATCTTTAGTCAAACAATGTGAGATTTTAATAAGAGCAACAGGAAAAGTTCTAGAAGGAAAGAACACTTCTGATTTCCATTGTTCTGCAAACACTCCCTCCCAAGCAGTGATTTATTTCGCCCCCCACCCCACCCCAGTTACTGAGTGGGAGTCTGGTTTCTGGAACAGGAGAGAAGGTAAACCATATTCTTTTATTCCAGTAGAGAAGGGTGATTATTTAATTCTTACATAATTCTAGGCAGATGATATGCACAGTGCAGTTGTTTATGTGATTTTGCAGAATTTGTGCTTTCTTAGCCTCCCACCCAAGTAGCTGGAAAACATCCACATGGGGAGCCAATGCTCATGGGGGCCTCAGCTCTCTTTTTGGCTTTGAGATGGTGCACTGTGCAAAGTATTTAACCTTTCATCTGCAAGATGGGATGGGACTGGTAGTTCTGAAACTATTTATACAAGCCTCAGTGTTGCTATCAAGGTATATAAACTGTTTCTAAACTGCCATGTCATCCACAGAAATTTTGTCACATGCATAATAATAACAACCATTATCTTGAGCATCTACAAGTCCTGATTGTGACCCAAACTTGAATAGACTCATCACTTAGTGTTTACTTAGACTTCTCCCACTCTTAAAAGTTCTAGATCTCTATACTAGAATAGATATAGGACCCCAAATACCAGTGTTTTGGGTGAACAGTGAAGCTTAGGGGGGGAAAATGGTATAGAACAAGGTTTTTTGCTTTTTTTTAAATTGTATTTTGAATAATGATAGACTCATAAGAAGTTATAAAAATGGTGCAGAGAGGTCCCTTACCCCCTGTACCCGGCTCCCCACCCCCAGCATCCCCCAGTTGTAACATTTTATATAACTATAGCACATTATCAAAACCAGGAAATTGACATTGGCACAATACCATTCATTAGATACTATTAACTGGATTCGTACTTTACTGCAATTAGAACCCGTTTTTAAAATAATGTGGACACAGCTAGAGGTAACCTGAGTCATTTGCATGAGATTTATTCTTGGAGGGAACTTGCTACAGGGAATTTGAGTTTGCTGTCATCAGACCCAGATACTATGGGCAAATTATTTGTCACTGAGCCTCAGTTTGTTCATCTGTAAAACAGGAATAATAATACCACCCAAGTAAGTTGTCATGAGGAAATACCTCCAGTCCAATGAGAGTGGCATATATAATACTAGGAACTCCAAATATAAAAGTGTCCTTGGTTCCCTCATGAGATCTGACACTTCAGCACCCAGGATTCTGTAGGAGTCCCAGGTGCTCTCCCAATAATAACCTGGTTTTCGATTATTCTTGTATCATTATTATTTTGCTCAGGCTAGTGCTGTCTCTTATAATCAACATCCCTGACAAAGGCACATCCTCAAAAGATATGAAGTGAGAAGTTTCAACTCCGGGTCGGGCTTAATGTCACTTCTCTTAGAAGCAGCCCCTTACCCCAAGAAAGTGATTTGAAAACTTTGGGTCCGCCCTGCTCCAAAAGCCATCCTCCACCAAGCAAGCTAGCTGGCCTGGACTCTGTGCTCCTGGGGGCAGGAACCCAAGCTGGACTTGAGGATGGGCTGATCTGCATGGTCCTCTCTATGCTCCCCTTCCCTGGCTCTGATGTGGACCCTGGAATTACCCTAAGGCTTTGACGCTGGAAGTTAGAGGAGGAGGCATCAGGCAGTCCCTAACTGTGGGTCTTCTTTTCCACCTTCCTGACTACCTGCCACCCTGTGCAGGTGCCCAATTTGCACTAATTGCAGCCTTGGTCCTGAGGGTGCCGGTAACACCCATAAGGGCTTCCCCTCCTCCTAGTTTTATTGTGTCTCACAATGACTTGTCTCTAATAAGCCAACTGGGCAAGCGCCATCCTTCATTCTCTTTTTGGTACAGTGCCTGCCATACCTTAATGCCCAATTATAAAAATACAATAATGACTCTCCTCTGGCCTACCGTTCTGGAGGCAGCATGGGGCCTCTAGTGAGCCTGGTGTGGATTTCCCCAGATCGGCGGTCCCGGGCAGAGGTCCCAGGGTCCCTGCCGTGCTGGCTGGGAGACGGGGTGGAGAGAGTCAGGGGAACATGAGGGTTATATGGAGGAAGGTACACAGACAAGGGGGAGTTAAAGAATGGAAGTTGGTGGGTGGGTACCTTAGCTTCAAGGAAGCCTGAGGTTCTCGCGGAGAGCTTCAACCCTGGGGCCAGGATGATTGTCTTATTAGAACCTTGACTCTGTCACCCACCAGCTACTTGCTAAGGACAAATTCCTTAACCCTCCCTAGCTTCGATTTTCTCCTCTGTAAATGGGGATAGCAATACCTACCTCTGAGTTCCTATATTATGAGGATAAAAGTGGGAAATAACAAGTACTTAGGGCCTCAACAAGTGTAAATTTCCTCCCCACCGTAACCTTCTAGAAACATCCAAGCCCAACACAACCTGGAGATGTTCGCCTGTCAACACTCAGGCGCTGAGGGCCGCCAACGTACGGTGTACCCGGGCTGGGGGATTCTGTTCCCGCCGACCTTCGGCGTTGGGTGTCAGATCTCCCCTGGGGTTCCTGGGTGGATCGGGACAGGAAGAGCTGCAGGATGCCGCGCTCCTGCGCAAACCGAGAGGGCCATCAGCTAACCTGGTGCGAGGGTTTCGGCCTTAAAGGCAGCTACCGTCTTTCCCAAGAGGCGAGGTAGTGGGGCGGCGGGGCGGTCTGGACGCCCAGGTCGCGTTCACTGCTCCCAGGAGACCGGGTGGCGCGCAGGGCGGACCCGAGGGGGTGGCCGCTTGGGCGGGCGGGGCACGTGGGCGCACGGCCGCCAGGTGGCACCACGGCCCGGGGCCTGGGCGCCGCTGCGGGCGGGGCGCGAAGGGGTTAAGGAGGCGGCGGAGGCGCGGCGGCGGCTCTTTCGGGGAAACCCACCGGGGCGCGCGGAGGCGGGAGCGGCCGTGGGCTGCGGGGCCAGGCGCCGCGCCGGGCGGGGGCGCGGCCAATCGGGCGGCGGGCCCGGCGCGCGCGGAGCCAGGCGATATGGAGGGAGGCGCGGCGGCCGGCTGCCCCTGACGCGCCGCTCCGAGCCGGTGGTCGGCCAGCCCGCGCCGCCCGGAGCGCTGCGGCGCGGAGATGAGCAGGTCGGCGGCGCTCCTGCTCTGCCTGCTGGGCTGCAACGTCTGGAAGGCGGTGACCAAGACGCTGCGGGAACCCGGCGCCGGAGCCCAAGGTCGGTACGCGGCGGCGGGCTTTGTGTCGGCCGCGGGCCTGCGGCAGAGGCGGCGGCGGCCGCGGGGCTCCGGGGCCGCATTGTGTCGCCGCGGCCGCCCGAGCCCGAGCCGCCGCCACCGGGCCTGCAGCCCCGAGGGGGCGGCGCCGCCCGGGGGCGCCGAGATACCCGGGCAGACGCTCCCGGGGGGCCGCGGGCCGCCGGGGTGCGGGTGGCATCATCTGTTGACGCCTCGCGTGGCTGGTGTGGATGCATCCGAGGGTCCTTTATGCGCACCGCGGACACGCGGCACCATCTCCTCCTTCGCCCGGGCGAGAACGGCAGCCCCCGGGTCGCCATCGCCCGCTCCCCACCTCGGGGCTCGGTTCTCGAAGCCCGATCTCGAAGGCTACGCTCGGCCCTTTTGTTGCGGCGGCCGAGGGGGTGGCCGCCGCCCCTGCGGTGCCCCCTGCGCCCCGGGACCCCTCGGTCCGCGGCCGCTGCCCGCCTCCAGCCTCCAGCCTGCCACAGTTTGGGAAAGTTTCGGGGTCTCCTCCCCCTCCCGATGCGACGTCTTTAACAGGCCTTAAGGGCTCTGCTCGGCGGCCCAGGAATCATCCCCGGAAGGGGAGAAAGAATTGGAACTGGGAGGCCCTAATCAATTAAAAAAAAAAAAATCATTTCCACGGCTGTGTGTCGCCAGCTCAAGGCTTTTGTCTAATCTTTGGCCTCTGCAAATATGCTTTCCAGCCCTGGGAGGAACGTGCTCGCCTCTGAGAATGGCCACGAGCCTGTCTTTTGTTTTCAAAATAAGAATTTGTTTGCGGGGGAAGCCCGAAGGTTCCTTTGCACGGGTTTGTGCGGTCTAAATCGAGGGCTTCTCTGTTGCCTGGCTTAATCGAAAGGGTGAGTGAGGCCGCCGTAGATGAACATCTGGCGTTCACACAGGACACCAATGCCGGGCCTCGCTGGGCCTCTCTGGTCTCCCGGGAGGGTTTCCCTGCAGCCCTGGAGACCGTCACCCGCACCCCGACCCCCAGACTCCTTGCCCGCGTCCTTTCCTCGAGGAAAGGTGTGTGTCCTGTGAAGTCCGCCCAGCAGACGGAATGCACGGGGAGCGCTCCATCCCAGCTCGCTCCATCCTCTTGCTAGGACCCTGCCTTACGCCCTCTTCCATATGCTCGCCCTCTTTCCTTATGGCAAATATTCAGAACGCAGAGCCCGGGAGTGCCTGGGAGCAGAGAACCCTGGTGGTTTTCCACCTCTCATGTTGACACAGTCGGTTGGGGTTTGGTTTGTTACCTACATGTTGAATTCAAGGTTTTCATATTCATCGCTTGCTGTATCATTTGCTGGAGTCTCTTTCATGCATCGCTTTTTCCAAAGCTGTGATGGGACAAGACCATTCTGAATTGTGTATAAACTTACTAATGTATGTTATGGAAGGGGGAACATTGGCAAGGTACAGAAAAGACTGCCTCTTCATGTAGGAAATGAATGTTTAGGACATTAGCTCATCAGTGTTGAATTGTAGCCTCTTTCATTAATCCCCTACTGCTGTTTGAATCAGCTGTTTCAATGAATATGATATTTGTGTTTCAACAAGGCCATTAATTCCAAAGAATGGGTGGAATTTTTTGTTTTGCACTTGGAATAGGGATATGGAAACATTAAGTTTGTGCACTTATAAAATAGGGGAAGGCATAGCCTTAACTGGAACAAAAAAGTCATGAAAAAAACCTGCTAGGTATAGGTCAGACACCACATTTTGCAGAGAGCTTGCTGCTAAATATCTTATCTGGTAACTAAAGTCTCAGAAATGGAATATTCTGTGCAGTGAGTGAGAAAAAGTCAAGCTGTGAGATATTTATGCACAGCTAGGAGTACCTTAGTATATTGTGTGTTTGGAGTGGGAGATCAAGTATCTTGGAATATTTTTCCCCAGGATTGCTTCCTTGTTTGGGTAGGATGGCTTTTTAAAGAGCTGAGCCCAGGAGCTCTGCTAGAACTCAGGGTCTCACTACCTGGCATCTGGATTTTGAACTAGTACCGTGTTTTCAGGGAATGGACAATTGCTCCTTTAACTTTAGAAGGTCGCCTTCACCCCACTGAGTTCTTCAGACCATTTTGAAATTTATCTTGTAACATAGTTTTAAAATTCACGTCTTCTCTGCTCTCCGGGATCACATACACAATGAAGACAAATGCTATCTCTGATTTCACTTTGCATTTTCCACAGCAGGTTGTAGAGGGTTTTGCACAGAGCTGGTGCTCAGGTTGTGTTGAAAGAAAGAGTAAAGGATTGAAGACAGCTAGTGCATATATGAAAGGGCACCATGCATACACTTTAAGAAAAAAACTTCATGCTTACCTGCCCGGAAACTTAATTTGTAAGAGTTTTGCTTTTATTGTAGAAACTGTTCCATGAATCGTACTTTTTTTTTTTTTTTTTTTTTTTTTTTTTTTGGTTGCGCAGCTTGTGGTATCTTAGTTCCCTGACCAGAGATCAAACCCATGCACCCCTGCAGTGGAAGTGTGGAGTCCTAACCACTGGACCGCCAGGGAAGTCCCTACGAATCATACTTTGAACATGCATTGTGCTCACATAGATGTTATGCACCAACCAAATTTAGATTAGGAAAAACTACTTAGAGACCTCAAACACATAAATCATAGGCCAGAGCACCCCAATTAGATTCCTAGGCCTAAATGACACCTTCCTTTTTTAAATAAATCTTTGTTATGTCAGAGGAAACTAACATCTGCAAAATTTCTCAGCATCACTTTGCTCTTTATATATTCAAGATAAAATTTAAAGTTTGGCTCTTCCTACTGTAGCTGCTTTGAATCAGCAAAGGGATTTCAAAGGCAACAGTTAGCTGTCACCATGAGGCTTGGCTTTGCTGGTCATGAATTTGAACCAACTCCAGCATATGATTGCGTGTTTTTATGAAGTGTTTCCATTTGAGTTGCCCTAAAGTGGTCATAGTATCTAACTTTTTTCCTGGGAATTTATAGAAACTGTTATTCACAAGTATCTACTAATTCTGACTTTCTCCACCTCTTATACAACTGTGCGCTAAGACCAGCTTGATAGAGGGGGCCCCTACTTAAAGAGTGGTAAGCTGTGCAGACGTGCTCTATGAGATGTATTCTTGAACCCCAGCACTCTCTTTATGTGCCAGAAGAAAGGTCAGAGCTAGGTTGCTGCTTATTCTCTAACAGTATTTTGCAATGATGTGCTATTTTTTTGTTCCTCTCAGCAAAGCTACAATCTATCATAACATTTGAGGTGAATGGTTGGCTGTCTCTCTTCTCTGCAAAAGGTCTATTCCTGGCCAAATTCAAATTTCGGTTTTTAGAACATCGTGATCAGTTGAAAGACCGTGAAGGGATGTAAGCTATCAGGAGGATTATCCAACAGGCATGACTTATGCTGACAGTATATTAAGAGCATAACATCTAAATAAAACTCATGGGCTCACATCCTGGGAAACTGCAGGACTTGAACTTGCCAAGACCTCTGGACTTCCTTGCACGCCAGGTGTGGGAATTCTATGCAGAAGCAACAGCAATGTCTAGGGAATTTCTGGCAAAGTCTTTGAGATGAGTTTAAGAATTATTTTTGTATCCTATTTGTACTTGTCCTGTAATACTTGGTCACTTACAGCTTATTAGCTTAGAAACCTAACCAAAAGAAAGGAAATATTGCATGGATTTCTGAACTAATAGCTTGCAAATGAAGGTACTTTCTCAGTTTTAATCAAGCCTTCATTTTAAACAAATTACTGGTATGTCTGTAAATCTGTTTATTTTCATTATTGTTGGCAAATGCTAATTTAATAGTTTTATTAAATACTGCTTACTAAAAAAGCACACGGAAATAAGTTGGACAGGCAACAGACGTGTATACTACTGTATATTGAAGGAAAATTGAATATAGAAACATTTCAGAAATCTAGTTGGAAGAATTTGCCCTGTGATAACACACATATATCAATAATGCTTTTATAGTTTGCTTTTAAATATGACTTCCGGACCTTTAAAGACCACAGTCCTGGCTAAATTATTCAGTTCCAGCAAAAATGGAAGTGAATGTATTTTAAAAGTACTTTTTAAATTAAGCATCGGCACCCTAAACAGACCAACTCATTATAAGAAGTGATCGTTCTTAAAAATTCTATATTGTGACCTGATGGTATGCTCTACATTCAGAAAACCATTACATACTTTTGTAAAGTCAAACTTGTAAATAGGCAACATTTGAGGCAATTAACCACTTTAGAAAGGGTTTCACAATAAGTTCCCTTAAAATAAACAGTTTATTCCGCGTTTTTAAGGCGACTCCACCTTCCTCCGATCAAGCCTCTGTTTGAAATGTTTGCAGCTCCTCTTCCTCTCAGATAAAAGTGAGGCTGCAAACATTTGCCCATTTTTCTTTCATTTACCCCTTGCAGGATCTATTAACCCATAGAGATTCCAGTAATTAAACCCTATTACGTGGATGACTCCAGCTTTTCTCTCTCTTGCCTGGACCTGGCGTCATAGCTCTAGTTCCTTCTGTCCAACAAGCTGCTGGACGTCTCCATTCAGTGCACGAAGCTGACCTCAAACTCCTCAGCTGCCAGCCTCCTTCTCCAGTCCAGCTTACCTTAAGTTCTCTATTAAACTGGACTCAAAATCTGGGTGTCCCCTTAGATCCTTCCTCTACCTTGTAATCCATACAGTTGGTAATTGTAAGGGTGCATGTGTAGAGCACATTTATGTAGATATGTTTAGATCCAGGTAGATGCGTTTATACAGTATCAGAAGGCGCTTCTTGGTCAAGTTCATACTTCTTGTTCTGCAGGTGAGGAAACCCAGGCCCAAAGAAGTGAGGGGACCTCAGATACTGGTGTTCTGTAGCCGCACAGACCCTGTGGAAGGTGGAGTCATGGCCTCCAAAGATGTTCATGTCCTAAGCTCGAACCAGAGAATACAGTAGTGCTTTATTTGAGAAGAGGGACTTTGCAGAGCTAATC